TCAAGCAAGATGAATAAACTCTAGAGGTCTGCTATACAACATTGTACCTGTAAATAATAACGTCCGCTTAAAAATATAAGAGTGTAAATGTCATTAATTGTTCTTACTACAATAAAAAAAAGGTTTCATTGAAGACATGGCATTAGAGTAGGACCTTTAAGGATGGCAGGATTTGTATAACAAGAGATAAAAAGAACGTGGTAATAAAGGTAAGGAAGCTATTAGTGCAGGGTTTGTTTGAGAAATAGTGTATAAGCAGGATAGTAGCCATGAAAGTTGAAATCTGCTAAGGAGTGTGTAGCAACTCACTTGCCCAATTAAAATTTTTTAAAATTTCATAAAAGAGAAATAACATATAGTGTGTGTTTGATGTGGCTTAAAATTGGGAAAGGTAAACAGAAAAATAATGTAAAGGACTTTGAAATCAAAGGGGTACAGAATTTTATTTGCTGAGCTGTGGAAAGCCATTGAAGATTTTGGAGCTGAGTTGGGACAGCTGTAATCTCCGTTGCAAGAAATGTAGGATGTCTGACATGTAGTAGTCAATTCACATATTTGAGTGATAGATCTTACTGTTCTGTAAGAGCCTCTGGAAATCTTGGGGAAAAATCTTAGTTTGCTAGGTAGTGTTGGAATTTGGCTACAGTGTTGTTATGCTGTTAATGAGAATTCTTCCAGGAAATAATTTTTTAAAAATGACAAATATTAATCAAGTTCCAAGCACTGGACTTTTCTTTCTTTACTAAATGTTAATAAGATTTGAATCAATGTGAATTGTGCTAATGTGTGTCTTCTTTACAGGTGTTAGTAAAATGGCCTTTCGTCATTTAATTGAGTTCACATATACAGCAAAATTAATGATACAAGGAGAAGAAGAAGCCAATGATGTATGGAAAGCAGCAGAGTTCCTGCAAATGCTAGAAGCTATCAAAGCCCTTGAAGTCCGGTAATTATTTTTTTAATGATGTGCAATTAGTCATATTCAGTCATATTCACTATGTTAGTCAATTTATAGTATGTGTCATACAGAACTGCCATTTTGAAATGAAGAATATTTAAGGATCTAGAAAAATTCTTCTGGATACTGATTTTTCTTTCATTTGCATTTGATTTCTTGTGTAAAAACTAAGATTAAATTAGCATCTTCAGTGTCTAATAAAATAAGGAAGTCTGCGTAGCTCTTGAAGAAGTTCTTTTGGATTCCTGTGAACCGTTTTGTTGGATTCAAGTCGTGAATGATTTGTACTGACCCTTATTCTTCAAAGAATTTGGCTTACAAAGATTAACGTAGTACTGTTGAAAAATAGGTAAGAAAATTGGGAAGATAAAATAAATAGGCCAAGTGGGGATAAGGAGATAGTCAAGTTAGAAATATGATAGTCAAAATGCATGCCATTTATGTCTAGATACTTGCTAGATGGGCTAAATCTAGCCCTAGTTTTGAAGCACCTAGCGCAAAGAAAAAAAAGTGTTCGGTTACATTATATTCATTGTTAAAAGATGAAAACAAATCAGTTGCCAAAGAGCCATTCCTGGCATGAAAACAAAAAATTTCTCCTAGAATGTAATAAGAAAACATTAAAGAATATAATGAACAAAGACCTCAACATCCGTACTTTAATGAATAATGGCAGTATAATATAGTGACTAAGAACAAGAGCTCTGGAGTCAGCCTCCCTGAGTTAGTATCCTACCTCTATGACTGTGTGGCCTTAATGAAGTTAACCCTCCTCTCAGCTCAGTGTCCTTATCTGTTGGATGGGAGTAATCGTGGTACTTTGTAAATAGGACTATTTGTGAGGGTTAAATAATGCATGTTAAGTGTTTAGCATGGTGTCTGGCACATAGTACTCTAAATGTGAGCTATTGTTACTTCCTGTTTTTTTTATGTTGTCTGTCAATATGGATCATTGGCATGACACCAAAGCACAGTTTGGTAAAATCATTTTCACATAGGGGCAAGATGATGTAGTCCAACTCACTGGTATGTTTTAGTCAAAAGATAAAATTTAGAATAAGAAATAATTGTACTGTAATAGTCCATAAATACCATTAGTTTGACGACAGTTAGAGTAAACTTTTCTGACAAGAGCATGGTATGTATATATTCTTTGATGCTTAGCACCTGGCATGTAGCAGGTATTTAGGAAGCATTTGTGAATCGTTAGGTGATGCCAGTCACAACCAGATCAGTACTCTCCTACAAAGATACCCGAACATGGATAGCAACACAGAAGTGTGTGCTGAGGATATATACGTGATCAGGCCATCTCTTTTCAAAAAGTCTGAGGGAAATATATATGGATGGGGCAATATCAGATTTGTGGTTAAATCTTACAAGCTTCTGAAAAAATGTTCTGTGTGGCTCCTCTGCTGCTCATGGTAGTGAATGGTATCTCACTATGGAGAAAGTTCTTAGTAACAGAATACTGGAATACTAGATCAGATTTGGGAGACATTTGAGTTCACATCTGTAGTCTTTAGGAGAAGAAGGTAAGAGCAAGTGAGTACAGTTGTTTTCGTAGGCCTATTTAGAACCTTTAAAAGGGTTTATTATAAGACTGAGATCCCTACAGCAGTTACAACCATCATAGCTTTTCAGTATAAATACAGTAGCATGTTGAATTATGCTCTGAAGAGTTCCTTTGAAAACAGGAAGACAACAGTACTGCATATTGGCTGTTTATAATACAGTGTCTGAGCTTCTACAGGGATAGTTTCTGTTGATGTTTTTTTCCTGCATATGAGCTATACTTTACTGTTTCCTTGCATTTCTTATAATTTTTTGTTGAAAATCAAATTTTTTTTTTTGAGACAGAATCTGACTGTGTTGCCCGGGGTTGAGTGCCGTGGCGTCAGCCTAGCTCACAGCAACCTCAAACTCCTGGCCTCAAGCAATCCTTCTGCCTCAGCCTCCCAAGCAGCTGGGACTACAGGCATGCGCCACCATGCCCGGCTAATTTTTTCTATAATTTTTTAGTTGTCTGATTAATTTCTTT